AGAGCCCCCCCTGCCTCTGCCTCTGCCTCCCGAGTACTGGGATTAAAGGTGTGTGTCAAGGTGTGCACCACCAACGACAGGCAAGCATCAGAGGTTTTCAACATCTATTTTTTAGTGTCATTTTGTCAGCACAGAAGAATTTTAAAAGCAAATGAGTGTAGGTTTGGGCCAAATCTATCAGCGTTATAACATCTACATTCCCTCCCCCCACCCCCCCTACACACAGAGTCCTTGTCTCTAAGAAATGGGGTCCAGCTGTCCCAAAAGCCAATCTGCCTCTCTTTAACTGTGACCTCAGCCCCAGCCCTGCCTAAACCTGGCTCTTTCTGCAGCAAGAGTGCTGTGGGACATCTGGCCCCATGGACTGGGTGAATTACACATCCGCCTTCCGGGCAGCCACTGCAGAAGTGGAATTCCCCTGGCCCCCTCTGTGCTGTCGTCGGACCGGGAACTTCATCCCCATCAATGAAGAAGGCTGCCGAGTGGGCCACCTGGACTACCTGTTTACCAAGGTGTGTCCCTTTGCCCCGTGCATCTGTCTGTCCATCTGCTCTGTTTCTCCCTTCCCCGCTCCTACTGTCTGTCTCTCTGTCCCTCTGTCTTCCAGCCTCTCCTCTCTGGCCTTTTCTTTCTTTCCCTTCTCCCTGGTTCTCCCAGCTCCTTGTATGAGTCATCAGGATGCACGCACACACAGTCTGAGCCAGACCTGATGGCTGCAGCTGGTTGTCTGGGAATGAGAGCAGCAACAGGAATATTATCAGTTGCTGGAGCTAGACACGCCGGTCACCCTGTCTACTTAGTGAGCTGAGGCAGGCTGGCCGTGAATTTATGACCAGCCCCAGCGACTTCAAGAGGCTGGGCCTCAGAAGTAAAATGAAGGCCAATGAGAGGATTCAATGGTAGAGCCCCTGCCTAGAATCCATCTCCCAGTGAGGGGCTGAGGGCGTGGCTCAGTGGTAGAGCCCCTGCCTAGAATCCCCCAGTGAGGGGCTGGGATTATGGCTCAGTGGTAGAGCCCCTGCCTAGAATCCCCCAGTGAGGGGCTGGGATTATGGCTCAGTGGTAGAGCCCCTGCCTAGAATCCCCCAGTGAGGGGCTGGGATTATGGCTCAGTGGTAGAGCCCCTGCCTAGAATCCCCCAGTGAGGGGCTGGGATTATGGCTCAGTGGTAGAGCCCCTGCCTAGAATCCCCCCAGTGAGGGCTGAGGGGCGTGGCTTAGTGATGGAAAGCTTCCCTCAGCAGGTAAGAGGCCTTGAATTCAATCCCCAGCATGGCTAATATAAAAAAAAAAACAACAGCTGGAAGTGATTATGGTGGTGCACATCTGTAATCTCAGCTGTGCAGGATCACTGCCAGTTGGAGGCTAGCCTGGGAAACACAAGATGCTGTCTCCAAAAATAATAATCCCTGAGTGTGGCGGTGCACGCCTTTAGTCCCAGGATATGGGAGGCAGAGGCAGGCGGATCTCTGTCAATTCAAGACCAGCCTGGTCTACAGAGTGAGTTCCAGGACAGCCAGAGCTACACAGAGAAACCCTGTCTCAAAAACTAGAAAATAATAAGAGCAGGTGAAGTATGGTGACGCTCGCCTTTGACCCCAGCATTCAGGCAGATCTCTGTGAGTTTGAGGCCAGCCTGGTATACATAGAAAGTTCTAGGTCGGGCCGGAGAGATGGCTCAGCGGTTAAGAGCACTGAGTGTTCTTCGAGAGGACCTGAGTTCAATTCCCGGCAACCACATGGTGGCTCGCAACCACCTTGAATAAGATCTGGTGCCCTCTCCTGGCCTGCAGGCAGAAGACTGTATACATAATAAATAAATAAATAAATAAATAAATAAAATCTTTTAAAAAATTGCTTAAAAAGAAAGAAAGAAAGTTCTAGGTCAGATAGGGCTACATAGTGAGACCCTGTCTCAACCAAAAACTAACAAAATGAGAAAACCGCTGTGGTTACTATAGACCCACGAGGAGAAGTGAAACATTCCCTAATAAAAGCCAGGTGTTTCCGACCGCTCTGGCTTTGTATCTTTATCACAGCCATAGGAGGAAAAGGTGATAACAACCCTGCTTGGAGAGCAGGAAGGCCAGGGGAGAGGCAGGGCACAAGCAGCAGGGGGGCGGGTTAACACTAGACCTGGTTCCAGTTGTACCTGCGTCTGCAGGCTTGGAGGGGAGGAGGTGTCCCAGGGAGCCCACATCTCCAAGGACAGATTAGGACAACCAATTCTCAAGCCAAAGTCCCACGCATATTCTTCTGTGTGTCACCTCAGGGTCCCTGTGTCAGTTCTCCAGGCTGCCACTTAGCCAGTTGGAAAACTGGGGCTCAGAGAGCCAGAATTGTGCCCGTGTGCTACCTACAGGGAGCAGAGCTAGTCCCGGGGCCTGGTTGCACCTGACAGGGTCACACACTCTGGATCTTTGCTCTCAACCACATTGTGGCTGTAACAGGATCTGGGAAGGTGACCCTGGTGTCGGGCCCTGGCCTTGCTCAACCTGTCTCTAGTGAGCAAGTATCGGGAATGGAAGACAAATAAAGCTGGGTTTTAAACGCTTGGGGTTTGTGGGTAGCATAGAAGCAAGCCCAGACTGACAGCTGCCTGTCAGAGCAGCATCTGCTGCCTCGGGGACCGGCTTCCCTCCGCGTCCCAGAAGGCATGCGCGGCCACAACCCCATTGCACAGATGGGCAGAGCAAGGCAAAGGGGAGAGAGGGATGTGTCTCAGGGCACCGGGTGATGTTCCATCACCCACCATCCTCCCCGGTATCTTCACGGGCCTCTACTGTCCCTCTCTCCAGGGCTGCTTCGAGCACATCGGTCATGCCATCGACAGCTATACATGGGGCATATCGTGGTTTGGCTTTGCCATCTTGATGTGGACAGTGAGAGATGGAACCCCTGTGGGCTGTGGAGGAGGGACCTGCGGCAGCCCAGGGGTGCGGGCATGGTCTTGGGGGAGACAAGTGGGCCCCTGGCTAAGCGCCCAATCTCATCATTTGCCCACAGCTGCCTGTGATGCTGATAGCTATGTATTTCTAC